GAATTAAATCGAATCCGTAAAGAATATCGTGAATGTGATAATGAACGTCGTGAATTACGTCTACAACTTGTAATGTTACGAGGTGAACTTGGTTTAGCCCAATGTCAACTTGCAGAAATGTTATCGAATCAACGGCGGAAACAATCCGAAACAATATCGAATGTTTCGATTATCAGCGCAAATGGTAAATCATCATCATCAATGCAAACTAAAAGAAAAAGAATTAAATCTGTAAGTTATTTTTGTTTCTACACTTCTCATATAGTTAGTTATGTATGACTTCCAAGGTATTTCAGCATTTCAAATCATACTGTTTACTGCGCGGAAAAAACAATTAAAAATTGCGAAGATTAACTACTGCTATAATTAGGAGATAACATTAAGCAAAAAATATTGCTATCAACTGGATTGTGTTAACATTGCTGATATTTTATCATGAAAAGAAATTAATGACTCCATTGATTTCACTAATTTGACATGAAAGAAGAGTTATTCCAGTTGAAGAAATAGCAAAAATTGATAAAATTAGTTCGATCGATATTGGACTCCTTTGTAACTGATAAATTAATTTCCATTCACAAATATGCCTCTTAAACAGTATTTGAAATATTTTTCTTTTCCCATTGAAAACAAAAAGAAAGAAAAATCGAATAATTGAGAGTAATTTAAGATTAAAGAAAACTTTACACTCAAAACTTCTAACTATTAAAAAATTATAGAGATTGCTTCAAGACAGCCATTTGGATGAATTTTGTGATACGATGGATTCATCCTCGGCAATCTTCTTTACAGCTTGTAGTTCAGTGACCTCTTCTCTTAACGAGATTGTATGTTCGACAAGCGAACCAGATTTATTTGCTACAAAGTGATTTTATATTCGTTTCTAAATTTTATTCCCGTAATTTCAATCCTTTTCGTTAAGAAAAATCTCCCGTTCTATCCTCCTCAAATTTCAACAATATTAGTGGATATTTTACGGATTTTTCTTTTGATGAAATTTTATAACTAAGTTTGATCGTTTGCTATATCTTTTTTTCTTTCCTTATTCGATATCTTTCGTATGAATTATGAAATAAAACAGGCTTTTTTAGTTTTATAAGATTTTCAATAAAACGTTAGCTTAATATAAATTTTTGTTTAACACATTTTGCACTTGAGCATATTTCAAATGATTTTTTTCTTTTACGATAACCATCTAGTTAGATTGAATTAAACTTTTAGATTTGAGGGTGTTCGCGAATATCGTCTTCCCAGTCATGACTATCGTGATTTCTGTCTTTTACCAGTTCGTTGTCGAGAATCTCGCAGACCATCATACCTTGGAAAAACCCAGCACAATTCAGTGAAACATGAAAAAATGATCAAAGAAAAAAAGTGTCAAATAAAATCACTCGGTGAAATTGATCATCAGGAAAAAGATATTCGTGAAAAGGTAGCTTGAAAAGTGATTCAAATTACGAGTTCGCAGAATCGTTTGAAAATTGCTAACTTATCCACTTGACTAATTTTTTTAAATCAATTTTTCGTAAAAATTGACTGTTTACAAAGAAAGAAGCACTTATTAAGTGCTTCTTTTATAAACCTCGAAACTTAAATTAAACACTAATTAATAAATTAAACACGCTTTTTATAAACCTAATTAAAAACATACGTTTAAAATTTATGAAGAAATGGGCAAAGAGAAAATGATTAAATTAAAAAAGGAAATGATCAAGTTGAGTTAGAAAAGGATTACTGAAAATAAAATTGTAACCTTCTAATTGTTAGGTTTTTATTTACCATTATATTGCATTAATAATTATTTGAAGAGAAAATCTTTCAGAATTTCTATGATAGGCGATCAGAATGGCGGTTGTCATCATATGAAGAGCAAAGTGCAAAGAATAGGCAAAAATTAAGAAATCTGGAAAAACAGATCGCTGAGTTAGAGAAAGAGCAAGCAAAATTAACGGATATTGAAGTATGCTTTGCTTTTTTTTTTGTTTTAATAACAACTTATCTCTTTTTTTTTGTTTGATTAAAAGCCTCAAATAAATTGGGAATTTTGCTAAATTAAAGAAGAAGCGAACACGTGTAGTAAACGCCAACAGAATGTAATTCTTTTTTTTTTGGTTTATATCAAAATTTACAAATGTAACCTTTTCTGAATGCATATCAAAATCTACATTTGAAAGTCTATAAAGGAATAAAATTTGTTCAGTGGATTATTTTATTGTAAGTAAAATTAAATCAACTGAAGCAACGCTTTTGTTTCATCTTGAATTACTGGATGTGGGTGAAGAATTTTCCTGTAATAAGTTTTTAGTGCATATTTCAGAAAAATAATTTCTTTGACTGTAAACATGATAGAGTAGGATGATAAACAAATGATAAAAGGATGATAAATGATTATTTCTAGCCTACCAGACAAACTAATTAATTATGAAAAGTAGAAATGATGTAATACAAATAGGAATTTACACT